TCGTGAATGAGCGTTGGACACTTCCAAGTGCGAACCTACAACTTTGCGTATAAAAGGAAGAGAATACGGGACAGTATTCGACTATTGGTCGTACGCACAGTTTAAAATTGCAACCGTTGTCTTTGGAAGGTGAAAGGAGCGCAGTATAAAAAACTGAGCCCACGTGCTCGGGTAACTTGGTGCTGCACCTGGTGGGAAAAGTTAAACGTACAGGAGATTCTGAGGCCAAGATCTTTGATACCTGTGGAATGAGTGATAGGATTTCCACTTATTGTGGAAGCATCAGCCAAGAAGGAGCAGCGGCAGGAAGTCATGCAGGATTTCTTGGGGGAGAAGCTTAGGCCAAGTCAGCAAGTCAGCCATTCAAAGTGTTGCTGAATCTGGTGTAGCGTAGGGGCTCGTGCAGATAGGGTAAATGTGTACACAATTTTTATATCGTCCGCAAAGAGGAGGATTTGACTACGGGATATGGCACCGAAGACGCCGTTGATGTACATTAAGAAAAGGATGGGGGCCTAGCACGCTTCCTTGAATGAGTTCACTAGCGATCGACGGCGCAGATGACTGTATGTCTCCGGTTTGTGTTACCTGAGTCCTGTCAGATGGGTGGAGGCGAACCACTGAAATGAGGTTCCAGTGATGCCAACGGTACTAAGTTTATGCAGTAGGGATGCATGGGTGACTTGGCCAAATTTTTATTGAATATCCAGGTAAACTGTTACAGTGCAGTATCCAGCGTCGTAGGCTTCATTGATGGTCTCGAAGAAGTGAAGCTGGAAGCCACTCACGTATCTTTGAGACAAGTAACCATACCGCCGGTCATCTGTGGAACTAGTTGTCAGTAGGAAGTTGGTTAATGGACATTTGATTAGACGTTCAGGGGTTCTCATTAGGAGGGAGGTATGTCGGATTCTCCTGTATTTGGACGGAGTTTGTCTAGATCCTGATTTGGGTGGATTATAGATTTCTTCCACTGAGAAAGGATGATTCCATAGTTAATAGAGGGGGTGGAAGGATTTAGTAAAGTGATTCCAATATCTCGGCCGCCTTGTTTCACAATATGGGGTGGAAGGCCGTCGGCTCCTGACACAACGGAGTTCTTAATCTTCAGAAAAAGGAGAGAAACATCATCTAGGGAGATGGTTACGTAACTGAGAGCCGGGTGGTTAACTTACCCTTCACACTTTGGAGGTAAACAGCCTTGGGTATGGGTTTGGAATTGAGAGGAGAGGATAAGTAGCAGCTGCTATGTGGACAGGATCATTGATGGCGCCACTATCTGTGGAACACAAACATGCAATCGAATGGCTGTTTAGCATACAATGCCTAAGGAACAGTCGTGAAGTAGGTCTGAATACGGTGTTCTCTTCTTGGCGTTCGAGAGATACCTGCAAGAATTTTCTGTTTTTAGAGAGTGTGTAGATGAGAAACGGTAGTGAGGAATCCTGAGATTATCGATATTCTCTACTAGCCCGGTGTATTTTGGGATCCAAGGATTTTATTAACCTATCGTAACCGGAGTTACTGGCGTGAAAACAATTCACGGGAGGAACAAGGTGAAAAGCAGTCAGCAGGTTTCGGTAAAGATGGTCACCGTTGCGGTGTTTATTTCTCGACAGAAAGAAGTCGTCCCAATCCTGTGAAGCCAGCGTGGACGAAAAAGCTTGTAAAATATCCGGTGAGAGGAGATAAAACATGAATGGAAGGAGCAGTTTGGCAATACCTGACTGCGTTGCAAGAGACCGCGCAGTGGTCACTTCCTGAAAAGCATGAACCAACTGCAGGTGTAGCCAAATGACCATCTTTGGAGAATATTAGATCCAGAATATGTTGACCTCGAGTGAGACTACGTACGATTTGTGACCAACCCTCCAAACCAAGTTGTGCATCAGCGCGGTGTAACGGGCGGGGCCCGTAAGGGAGGACCAGGAAATGTCCGGCAGTTTGAAGTCAGCCAACAGAAATGTAGACGGATGAAAAAAAGCGTTTGCACTAGAGATAATACGGAAAATGTCGGCAATAGAGGCGGGGGAGGGGCAGTTGGTAGATAGATGCATTCTACCAATACAGGTAGTCTGTTCTGTTCTATTGATACCCAAATGGTCTCTGGAATCCCTTCCAGAGAAGAATCGTCAAATGGGTTTGCACAAAGTTCTGACTTGGAATGGGTGGCACAGCCAACACCCCTTGAGTTTTTCTTATCGGAGCTATAAATATCATAGCCAGGGCTTGAGATGGCCATGTCAGGAGTTTCATCTGTGAGTAATATTTCAGTCACAGATTATACCTGGTCGTGCAATGGCTCGAATTGCTCAGAGATTATGGATTTTGGGCAGTATTGAGCGGGCATTGAACAACATTATTGACAAGCTCAGTGGCAAGCAAACGGTACTAAGTAGGAACTTTGTAACCTCACTCACGGTGGGATTTAGTACTGGGGGGACTACGTACCTGAAGGTGGGGTAATATGAAATAGGTTCCGGAATCTGGAATGGAGTATTCAGCACTGGTGGTAGATGGGTAAATTTTCGTTGAACTAGGTTTGAACCCACGTCAGGAGGTACTGTACCAGGCTCAGTATAGGGTACGTAAGGATTTTGGGAGGAGGGCATACAGTTGAATGTAGAGTTGTCGGATGTGTCATCTTCTGAATCAGCACGTATGCAGGGAGTTGGGATGCAAAAAGGGGTGGCAGCTGTGGAGGGATGGGTGGTTGCCGAAAATAGTATTCAGGTGGGATGAAAAGTGGTGGCTTGGGTAGTGGAAACGGATGAGTGTTGGAGCCGGTCATGGGCCGTTGTGGATACGAGTTTCTACCAGGCACGTGGTGTGTATGGCTTAATGTGCTCTTTAAAATTTGTACAAGGTGGGGCTAATTATGGCTTCGGAGGAGGCAGGGGATGTAGCTTCCGAATAGAGAGCTCAGGTAGGTGGAGAGTGGGAATTCGTGGATGTTGTACAAGCGCGGGTGTTACAATACCAGGCTTTGATGGTAGGTGTTTGAACCCGAAGGTGCGCTTTGGTGGGAAGGGGCGAATTGTCATTAGGTCAGGGGGGCTGGGGCGAGAGACTGTGTTCTCACCTTCGATTGCAGCACCGGAGAGGGGCAGATAAGCTACTGCATCCGTCGTCACAGCGGCGAATTTTTTGGTGCAGTTGAGGTCATAGGAGGCACAGGCAGGTAGAAGTGGAAGGCACATGGTAATAAGCAAGAGATGCAGGGCTGGAGGCCGTTGTGAAGGTCTGTGTGGCATTGGGCTGGAAGTTGACATCACGGTATGGCGGGCTTAGGCGAGGAGCGATTCCAGGATAGTGGAAGTAAGGGTAGGGATCTGTGCTGTGGTATCGGGGTTTGGAGGATAAGGCGTCAGCTCCGGTATTTGGAGGGTTGGCTACAATTCTCTTCGGTTTAGAACAGGCTGCACTGATGTCGGGTAGGGGGTGTCCAACGGAACTGGAGGGGGTTGTAAGGGAGGCCGGACCAGTTGACAGATTCGGTAAGCCGTTGGTTGAATCGGGTGTTCTCTGACAGCTATGTGCACGTGTCATCAGTGATATGACTTGCGCAAATTTCCGAGGGGTAGGTTTCATGAGTAGTCAGCGACTGAATCACATCGGGTGCATTTAGTGGTACGGTTTGTTGAACAGAATATAGATTCGTTTGGTGTTTATTAGTAGTCGGCCGTAGAAGTGTGGAGAGTGGGTTTATTGTGAATTGTCTTTGTAGTCTTTTACGAGCAGCCTTGACTTTTACGGTCTAGAATGTCCATGTCAAGGACAGAAAGGCCCGAGATGTTAACAGGCGAGTTGCATTGTCTTCATCGCTGAATTGCATTAGTTTTGGGCAACGCAAGAATGGGTGGATTCTGCGCGTTCTATCGGGATGCGGTTGGGAATATTATATAGTAACACCTCTTTACGTCATTCCATACGCCGACTACTCTCCGAGGCGCGTATGTCAATAAAGACTGACGCTTTTGCAATATCCGATGGATTACACATTGCATCAGGAGTTAAAAGGCAGGCAAGTGTTTGCATGATACGACAGGATATCAGTTCGCTCTCCATCTTATACGCACAAGCACTGAGATTCGCCAGGTCATTGTGGAGCTGAGATTCTTTTGGCGAAGAGGAGAGAAGACAGCTACCGGGTGCGGCAGGAAGGGAAATGCCAGTAAGTGCAACTGAGCAGGCTGAATTTAACTGGGGCAGTCTATCGACCGGCCTTCTAGGGTGATGAGTTTGAGTGTTATGCCTTTTGCCTGCAAGGCGCCTCTTTGGACACAAGGGATGACAGGGGATCAGGGTCTAGCAAGCGCCTAGAGGAAGATGGGACTGGTGGGATTGTTTGATCCAAATCAGGTATTGGTAAGCCTCAGTGGGATTATGCTAGCAAGATTATACTCAGTGGGACCTAATCAAGCTAGAAAGAATCGGAGGGGTGGTTTGAGGCGATTAAAAATGAGATATCTAAAATGGGTGGCCAAATGCTATACTAGAGAAATTAAAAAGTTGCGGTGGGGCTTGGGTTCCAAAAATGTTTTTTTGGCAACACCTGACCTTGAGATTCAAGCAGCCGGTTCGTGTGCCCGACGCAACACCCAAACAGACCGGAGCACATCATGCAGAAGGTGGCCCTACACACCGAGTGGCTGATGCAAGAAAGTGATGTGCATACGTCATACTAGGGCGACCGACGGAAATCCTGGAGGGTGACGGCTGAGTTCGCATTGCCGTCTATCGAATGACCATCTGTGTGTGTTCGCTTGTTTTGACAAACTTGGGACCGCGACTCCCTGGGCTGCACTATCGCAGCGTTAGAACCCACTAACTAAATTATAGTTCATGATGCAAACACCCAGGTGCTCCCAGGTGGTTGATACCTGTGATGGAGAATGGATGCCCGCCTTCTTCCAGTCGACGTGGCTCTCCTGAATCCATCTGTTATCTTCGTTTAGAGATCATTTGCTTGCAAGCAGCGTTTTTCTTTGGTTGCTTCCTTATCCACCAACGGTGGCCGTCGGGTTACAACTTCTCAAACCTCCATCTACGTCTTTGGACGGCCTGCGTAAAAAAAATAAATCGGGTGGTGGATAAGCTTTAGGGCTAAAACACAGGACGGCCACAACCATCGTTAGGCAGCTGTTTTTAAGGATCAGATCTTGCTGTCTCAAGCCCCGGCGTCCGCAACAGATGATGCACCGTCGGTGGCCGAGGAAACTGCGTCTCGACCCAGGTGGCGGTCTGGAGACACACGTTGGCTTTTGTGCACTTCGTGAACGACTAGTACCACCGGCTGCCGGTCCACAACGTATCGGTTTCTTATGACGTTGGCGGGCTTTGCCCTCTCTGAGGCGATGTTCCTCTTGCTTGTCACAAAATGACTCTTTAGATGAATAACTGATTTTTTGTCCATAGCTTTCGGCTTGTACAGAAAATGCAAAAGTGCTTGCTAACACTTCCACAAAGAGGAAAATGCAGAAGTGCTTGCCAACACTTCCACAAAGAGGACATCCAATGATGTTGGCCTGGAACGAAGCGCTGAACCTCAGCACAGTATTTGCCGCATATTTAGCTACAAAGAAGGGATATTTGACAGACGTGAATTTATGCCTGAAAACTACGACTAACGCTGTAGAGCGCCAGCTAGATGAGAAAGACGCCAATGATTTCGTGTGAATCATACAACGCCCATTTGCTCCACGGTGTTCGGCTGTTAATTGGATCTCATGCATTTCAGGTATGTCCCGTATTTGTTGGACGTTGTAGTCAGTAGGCGACAAGCCACAAAAATCACGCAATGCGAGTCAGCCTTTGAAGATCGCACTGAGTAAACAATCCCACACGATATTATACGATATTACATGTAGCTGTTGCTCCCAGTTCATCAGCCGCCAGCCTCATGTTGGTGATTTGACAACCTAACCAATATTTTCACTATTTCATGACGTAGTTATGAACAGTGCACACTAAGAAACGTTTACACTGTTCCCGACAGCACATGTATACTATTCAACCTTCAGTGTCATGCAATTTGGACCTTCGGTATTTCCCAGTAGAAGTGGATGGACGCGCTCCGGCCAGCTGATTAGGCATCATGGACACCCGCTCATATGTCAATTGTTTGCGTATCAATCGCTTAGCTGTCCGTTAATAACGACGGAATTGTCGTCCTGGCGTATTTTACTGGTTACAATAGAAAACCCCTATTTTTACGAACAAAAACTTGGGTCATAAAAATATACAATCCTCATAATCTTCCAAGACGCACGATGGATCTGACAGTACTGAATGCGCCTTCAACGATGGTAACTCGGAACAGCTGTCATTGAGGTCCCTGAACACACTATTCGGTATTATACCACTCATGCAGACATAAATAACAAAACTTATTTACAGGGAAGGCAACTTCACATATTTTACATCCACATTGACCAATTGCTGTTTGAAAAATCATTGAAGCTTCAGAACCATCCGCTTATTCAGTCTATTGTAAGCGATTCGCATTTTTAGGGCGCCGAGTTCACAGATGGAGGTGATTGACGAATTTCAGGATTCGCTCGCTTGATCAGATGATCCATGCAGATATTTTGCAGGACAATTCAATATAAATGATTTGGTAACCATGTTGTTGTCACAGTTTTTGAGACATCATTTTTGCTGTGCGAACACTGAACGGTAGATATAATAATGCGTATATATCTAATGATATATGAGCAAAGTTTGCCTCTCCGCTATGCACATATTTTATATATCTGTATACCAATGGAACTAACTAGTGGAAAGCTATCAGCGCTTGATTGCGCTGGAAGTGGATAGCGGTCTCAGTCAAGGAGAAAGCCGAGGTGAGAAGCTCCGGTGATCTCTCGAATAAAACTTTGGAGCGAGGACCTGGAAGTGGTTTCCAGAGTGCAAACATCACGTAAGACAATTAGTGTTAAGCGACATAAATGCCATCAGAATGAGCGCACACGAGTAGCTAGGCAGTCGAGATTTACAGTACATCGTTTTCAGATTTATTTGTATTTTTGCACAGTTCATCATTTCAGAAGTTCCAACTAATTATGCTTTGAAGCAACCTAAACTTGCTAAACCCCATTACGAACGCACACGCTGCCAATCTCATTTGCCCCCTACCTCCATCCTTGCAGCTTAGTAGCAAAAATCAAGTGTGTTTATCCGCCTCCTGAAGATATTGCATATAGCACTTCATCAGGCTCGAACAGCCGATATGTAGTTCAGGGTGCCATGACTATGAGCGCATTGTTACCACCTTGCGGCTCTGAGTACTTTTGGTCGCTTTTATCAGGTTGTGGAAGATTGTCTTCTCTAAAGGCTAGTGATACTTATTATTCTGACCAGCATAATATTATGTGGGCGCTGATACTAAGTTTAGAAGAGATGCTGGTTGGTTATCGGACAATTCAGTAAATGACTTATTTTGGGGAGGTAGACTGAGATGATAGAAACCTTCTGGTTGGGATACATTATGGAGCGAATTTTCCGATTTTATAGCCCACCGCTCAACGATATCGAGCGTATTCCCATCGGCTCTCACCAGGGAAGCCAGATTAGGTCAGTGTTTGAGGAGGAGAAAAGAAAGAGTACATTTAGGCCTCTGAAGTTTCTTTGACCTGTGCAGGATGGATGGACACAAAAATGATCTTTCCAATGGGCTTTACCCTGGAAATAAAGGCACATGGAGATAAAGGGTCTTCACTTGTGATCCAGATTAAAAAGACTTTTTGGTAATGAAGCCTCACTCTGATGGCTTGTTGAAGGAGATATCTGGAGTTTTGTGCCAACCGTGCTCAAGATGATAAACAGCAGAATTTTGAACCCCTGGCCAATGAATCTAGGTTAAATGGCGAAAGGAATTCGGTAACAGATTTGCATGAGGAAAAATGCACAGTGCCAAACGCGGACAGAACGACCATACCGTAAACTCAACCATTTGGAATCGGGACTGCAGCGTTTGATTTTCGGTTCACGAACTGTATCTTGCACGCTATGAACTATGATTCTCCGGTGTGGGTTCATGAAAATTTTTGCGGGTGGAAAACATAAACAGAGCTTATGCGCCGAAGCCCAGGATTCAAGTTTGTACGTTACTAATATTTACTTATAAATCAATGGAAATGGCCAGCGCCGTATACAACACTGGCCCCTTTTTCGAAGGACATCGTCCCTCGTGCATCATGGCCTATGTCGGCTGGCCGACGCCTGTTGCTTGATGCCTGAGGCTTGGGAGCGCGTGCAATGGATTTTGCGTTTGTAGTTGCGTCAGTCGTCTACGACTGAGCAGCGTGATAGATCTGAAGCACGTGTGTACATGTATGGAGTCAGGGCCTTTACGGCAGATCCACCAATGTGTGGTAACCATCCTGGCGTGGTCACCAAAAGTGTAGCACGCGTATTATTGGAAGCACTGGTGGAAAACAGGAAGAAAGCCCATGAGCCAAAGCCCAGTAAACAAGGTTGTACATCACCAACACTTACATATAAACGAATCAAAATGACACTCAGTGTTCCCTACAGAACCAATTGATCCTATTTTTCGAAGGACACTGTCCCGCGTGCATCATGGCCTATGTCGGCTGTCCGACGCCTGTTGCTTGATGCCTGAGGCTTGGGAGCGCGTGCAATGGATTTTGTGTTTGGAGTTGCGTCAGTCGTCTACGACTGAGCAGCGTGATAGGTCTGAAGCACGTGTGTACATGTATGGAGTCAGGGCCTTTACGGCAGATCCACCAATGTGTGGTAACCATCCTGGCTTGGTCACCAAAAGTGTAGCACGCGTATTATTGGAAGCACTGGTGGAAAACAGGAAGAAAGCCCATGAGCCAAAGCCCAGTAAACAAGATTGTACATCCCCAACACTTACATATAAACGAATCAAAGTGACACTCAGTGTTCCCTACAGAACCAGCTGATCCTATGAGAGCTACCAAGCACACTCAAGGCCATCAGAAAACTGTACTTTTTCTCAACTATAAGATGACGACCTTGTTGGTGCACGCTTTTGAATATTTTGCATCCATGCGATTCACTTTCTTTTTTCTACGGGAGAGAGAGTTTTTGTACTAAATTAACGTGAGTACTGAATATTTGTGTGTCTGAAGCCGCATAAAAGTGTAAACAATGAGGCAAGGAGAGGTTAGCCGGCAATGTCGGCTTATCTCCTTAGGAATAGGAGATATTTACATCCAAATCGAATTGATGCGCTCCAACAACATTTGTCTTGAATGCCTTGTACAGCATACGCCAAAATCGCTTTCTCTCGTTATCCGAAAAAACATGTTTGTTTAGTTACGGTAATGAAAATGTAAGGAAAATCACGGACAAATCTGACAGTGCCATATGACCGCCTTAGAACATGCAAGCACTCATTATCCGAACACGAACCCAAACTGAAATTAAAACGGATTTTCTGGTAATGCTGTATACAGTACGTCTTTCTTAACGTAGTGCGAAACAAGTGCGGAACTCCACATTATTTGGGTCTGTTCAAACTTCGAAATAGTGGGGTACCGGAATTGACCATCAGACATTATAGAAACACATCGAACAAAGAAAAAATATCGATTACACTGTCCACCAGTACTGCACGTTCAGAAGACGCAATAACTCATGAAAGTGTACTTTGTTGGGCATATCGGAATCGAGTTCAAGGGAGCTCTGTGATCAGAGTGCGAAATGACAGACTGGAAGATAAGTGACTCCCTCCCGACTCCGGCATTTCTAGTGTCTCTGTCTAGCTTGGATAACCCTACAGTAGTTCGGCTCCAATGTGTCCTTTGATACGCATGGTAGCTATACGCCCAAATACGTCACAAATAATGTCGGGATATTTTTAATCACTGATGATCCCAAGGGCCCATAGTTAAATCACTGTCATCCGTTCATCATAATGGCCTGCTGTTTGCAGGAAACTACGGCCAAAACTTCCCGCCTAAGCTGATGATTTCGCTTGTAACTCTTAATAGCATAGGGCCCATAGTTAAATCACTGTCACACGTTCATCATAATGGCCTGCTGTTTGCAGGAAACTACGGCCAAAGCTTCTATAACAAAACTTCCCGCCTAATCTGATGATTTCGCCTGTAACTCTTAATAGCACTGGTCTCGATGAGGCTTGGCTTACCAATGATACAGATGGCAGAAATTCACCGTCACCTGCGTATCCGACATCTCCTTCGAAGGGAACGGATGGCGGGTTGTCAGAGGAAGTGATATTATGCTGTGACTTTCGAATTAGACCCGCTGAACTGGAACCCATGTCCAGTCCACAGGACGAGGAGGTTATCCACTGTGGTGTGGGTGCTCGTCTGTCAGCAATGTCATCTGCAGCACCTCAAGAACACGGCTACTGGCCCAATTAACTGCATAGATAAAGAAGACCTCAATGCCACCTACAATGTTGTATCCACGCACTAGTTTATCAACTCCAGCCTCCAATGCGCAGCTACCTACCTCACCTCCCCGATCACACACTCCCCGATGATCACACTGGCAAGGTTCAGCTCCAAATTTTAGGATCTCAGAAAAATCGTACGTGCTCCCGTTGAACAAGCAGCTTCAAATCAAACTGAATTGTACTTTAGAATCCCGCGGGTGCCGTTGACATCAATTGATCCACTGTTCGGAAAATGCCGTGGAACCACCCACTACCTCTGAAATAATGAGCTATTCTGAAACCGCTGTGCGACACAAGCGATGAAACCGTCCAAGTAATCCCGGACCATTTTACTCAGCGTCTGTGATTAGAAAAGCGATGACGCTAGTTTCCGTATAACATGTTCAACAACATATGTGACGAATTTGGGCGTGAGCACCCAGGCGACTGCTCTTACCAAGGCATTCCACATATCAGCGATGATTTGATAGCCAGGGCACCCTTGGTTAGAAACGCATACACTGATCATCCACATTTGGTAATCAGTAAGGTGCCGCACCAAGAGATTCCACCAAAATTGTCTTCTCATGTGGTTTACGGAAGATTTTATAACTGGCTGCAGGCATTGACTAAAAGTCGCACAATGACTTACATTTTGAGGGTACATGTATCTCCTGTGTCACTCATCAGAGTCCTGATATGTATATGGAACTCAAATTTTATGGAAGCAACCACTTGCAAGATTTTCTTTTAGAATTCATTTTCGTGAAAATGAAGTAGAACTCTGGAAGATGATAGTATGTGAATATATAGAGCAGGTCCATTACTTTCCAAGCAGGTTGTATTTCGGGTCTCTCTGCTGGCGACACTCGGTCAGTCGTGAAGTGCGCGATGTTGCCTGTCAGTTGTTTCCATCGACATAATTTCGCGATTTTGCAGGACGCATTCTTTTGTATAGTGGTGCTTGTTGAAGCAGTCTTAGTATAAAGCAGTTGGAGTTTATCCTTCCGAAAAATATTTCCGGCACAGGAAATTTCACCATTTTGAACTATTTAGCTCATAGCTTTGATAGATGTTTTGTACAATTGGAGGCCATGAAGAATGCATTTATTTCGATTTATCGGTGAGGAACCTAAAGTTTACTTAGTCCTCTTTGGGGTCTACTTACCGAGGTGCGCCTTCTACAGCACTTCTCAATATGGCGAGCGCCTGGATGGGGTAGTACAGAACATAGGCGTCCAAAGCAGGGTACATCAGAATGAGCAATTTTATACCTTCTAACTGGTTATTAGACGTCCTTTTTTTCTTGCGATGGATGAGTTTAGAACCTTCAAGCAGTTATGTGAACCGTTCTGTTGCTTTTACCGGCAGTGGAATACTACTAGCCACCGCTGCTGACAGTTACAAGCGGTGAAAATTAACACTCAAAATCTGACGTACAGAAGATTATAACAATCCTCGATCGTCATGAAATACTGTTGTTCACCAGAATCAAGCTGATAAGAAGATGCACAAAAATCAAAAGTAAAGGAAACCAGGCCCCAAAAGTTG